CATCTACAAAATTCAAAGCCTGATTGTTATTCCAGTTACATTTTCTGGCAATACTTTAGTAGCATAAGCAAACTAATTTTAGGTAACAAATATAAACCTTTCAATTTCATAAAAATTCAAACATTTTCACAAGACTGCCTTCCATATGCTCATCATTGGTATATTGATTAGTGAAACAAAGTTTAATACTGTACAAAATAGGTTCATCTTAAAAATTACTGCTCATGATAACAAAAAAATTGAGTCATCAAAAAATTTCACTACTGTAAATTAATACACTTCATGGCAATGTAGTAATAATCCATTGCTCCATGTCTTCTCTAATGAAAGTTTGTGCAAACCCTATCACTAGAATATTAACAAGCAACTTGGTGCTTGCATTATCTTATCCAGTGTTGACCAATCATTCACAGCTTCAATCATAAAATTATCTTCAATAAATTTAGCAAAAAAAGTTTTCCCTATGTGAGTTTCAGCTTTTCTTGCATAAAATCAGCATTTAGAAAATTGCACTCTACCAATGGAGATATAACTAAATGACATGGCAGTCTGTCCTGGACCATTATCAAGCTGCCACCTCATAATGATCAAGAAAGAACCTAAATGTTGTCTAGTTTCAACTTGTGAATTAACTAAATGTTCTAGTCACAGTGTTGCAATTTATATTCAAGAAAGTCAAGTGTGAAACAAGCTAATTCAGTAATTACACTATTGAAACATTTTAATGTATAGCAATTTTTTCACAAAAAATTACTTTACAAATAAATAATTTCCCTCCAGACCATAAATATTAAGTGAAAAAAATTTCTTTGGGAAAGAGATGTCTCACCTGGGCTTCAAGAAGCCAATTGAGCTTATTACTTAGTTTATTATAATATAAACAAAAGGCAGAGAATGATACACATGTCTATTACAGTCCAGACTTCAACATATTAATACAGTATATTAAGCTATGCTGAAGGCTGGAAAATTATGACTATCAGTAGTAAGGAACATGGGACAAATGAAGTAACTCAACCCTCACCCAAAACAAACTAAAATATCAATTATTATTAACCCTTTCACTGTCGGTGAGGTATAGGCACTGCTTACAAGCCAGTGTCGGTGACATATTAATACGCCAAAATTCTAGCGGCTTCAAATTTAGCAGGAGAAAGCTGGTAAACCTACATGTGAGAGAATGGGTCTGTGTGGTCAGTGTTTGCAGTATTAAAAAAAATCCTGCAGAACGCAGTGCATAATGAGAAAAAAAAAACTTTTTGGTTTAAAACACTGTATTTTTGCATGGTATTTACGGTTGTATTCTTGTTTTCTTAGTCTCATTTGATAGAATGGAAGATATAATATATTTCATTAGTTTCACGATGAAAAGTACCTTTAAACTGAGCTCAAAGTAGCAGAAATGTTAGATTTTTTGCCAATGTTCAAGAGTAAACAAATGACGTCACCATCCAATGCGTGTCCAACTGGCCAGTCTAATATGCAGTCATGAATGGGTTGACATTATTTATGCAATTATTACAATAGAGCAGTAGTCTGCATAACAGTAAATCTATTATTTTGTGTGAATAAAAATTCAAAATGGAAAGCAATAATAATATAAGAGGGGCCTGGAGACGTGACTAATGAACAGAGAAAATTATATTTTAGTGCCAGAAATCTCTGCACTATTTATTCTGGACCCTATCTTGAAATTTGTGTGAAATTGGCCAAACTGCCAATTTCTGACCATTTTATTGGGTAGTTGAAATTGGTAAATGGGCAGTTTCTTGTACTCAGTTGATAGAACAAATGAAGTTCTAGCAAAATAGCTTTGAGTTTGGTTGACTGGAACAATGGAATTGGCCAAAAAATAGGGCTAAAACTGGGCAAAAATCGCCGAAGTGTATATATCACAGACTGCTAACTTCGCGAGAGCGTAATTCCATAAATTTTCCATTAAATTTTGTACCTTTGGTGTCATTACCATCGGGAAAAGATTCTCTATCATAAGAATTTTTTTTTTTTAAATTCTTTGACACTGAGAGCAAGTATATGAGTAGGGGTCTCAACAGTGAAATGGTTAATATGAATGTAATGTAAATATTAGTTATACTGAATATTAGCATTTTCACACAAGATATTCAAATAGCCAAAAAGTAAGTACATAATGTATACAGTAATTCTTATCTATGTACAGAACTTTTGCATTCAATATAATTTTAATAAAATTATGCATTTGTGGTTTCCCAGGAATACTTTGACAAAGAGTTCTGCCATTCCAATTAACTAGAAAAATGTACCTTTAGAAATCCCTACATTCAGTTATATGACTAGGGAGAAAAATGCAACAACTGGAAAAAATTTCATACTTTTTTTATATATAGTGCCTAAAACTAAAAATTTAAAGGTGGCATATAAGTAGTACAAAATAGGTACTGTATTAACTTTTATAAACACAGTATTATAGCAGGTAACATACTAAACTTTATAATAAAAAAAATCCAACCTACGTTATAAGCTCATCACAGTTTCAAAACACTTTGGTAAGCATTCCTAACCTCTGCATATTCATCCTCTAGCACATCCCTCCCTGCAGCACTGTGCGACCCTTCTGGGTTTAGTGCATAGTCTGATTATATTATTAACACACTTTAGTGACACATACTAATGATGTTTTATATAAATACACCATTAGAAGATATAGTTACAACTGTTATGTATTTGTGAAGTAATAACACACAACATACAACAAATTAATATTTTTAAACAATTCAAACGATGAGGCTATATTTGAGAGAAGACATTTTCTAGAGTGGTTTATATAACACTAAGCAATTAAAGAAGCCAGTTAAGACCAAAGGTTAAGCTGGCAAGGAGGCACTACATGAAATCATGACAAATATAAAAATGGGTAAAAGGACAGTTTATCATTTTGAAAAAAAAAAAAAAAAAAAAAAATAGAACATCAATGGGCGAATCACAGTTTAGCCACATGAACATTAGTTCCAATGCCAGCAAAAGGCTGTGTACAAGAGTATGTTTTAAAACATGCAGAATAGTAATGGCAAACTAGATTATGATAATGTTCTTTAACCATAAATATTTTTTGAATGCATAGATAAGACACTACAGTAAGCATAAATAGGTACAGAAAAAAAAAAGTTAATCAGCTGGTCTTGACTGCCAGTATTGCGAAGGCTGTAATAGGTAACCCCCTTCTTTCAATTACATTTTCTTTGCTCTCACTGCAACATCCCATGGTGTTATATTTACTCCATTTTCTTGGTGCCCTCTCCTGAATACCACTTCGCAATTCTTTTTTTCTTTCCTCATCTGTCCTCTGTTTCTTGTTTCCATTCATTTACGTACCTGCATTTAACATGATTACTATGGAAATCCCGAATGTATTCTTTCCCCAAAA